TCTGGAAGGCATATGTCTATAACTGATTCTACCTACTGCATTAATAAAGCAATTTTTGTTCAGGAAGTGTCGTTATTGGCCATATACGCCAAGAAATCGTTCAGTCCTGACGAACAGATTAGAACAAATATACACCGCATTCTGCATAGGCTTTCTGCAATACATTTCTCAGCAGTGTTTCAAGTCATCTCTAATATATTTCTGTTTATTTTCTAGCAGTGTCTACTATCCAAGTGGCTAATGACATTAGGCATACACATACACAGCACCACAAACAACGGTGTTATTGAATATAACAGATAACACAGATGGAGTTTACTTGAGTATGTTTTATTCTATTGATGGAGATGTGAATTCAAGCAGTCCCACAAGCATGTTGCTGCTGCTTAACAGAGACCTATCATCTGTCCACTTGTGCTATCCTGTTCATTTCAGATTTGACCTTTTGATGTGATTTAACTGGTCTATACAGACATCATCAAAGTGCATGTTTTGAGGAGGAAAGCAACTTTTCAAATATTCATATACCAGGTCACACTTCATGACAAATATGAACTACAATTCATATGACCACACCAAAACTGAATAGGCACGACACACTGAAACAACAGACTGTACTTGCAACATGCTAACGCTCAAAGTTCGTTGCGATGGTAACCCGAAATTGCTTCACTTTTACTAAACTTTTATATATATATAATGGCATGTAGACCTGTTGCTAGGCAACGGCCACAAAACTAGACAACGGAGGCCCGTAAACAACAGCACAGGAACGGTGTTATCTGTTTGGTCCGTGCCGAGATGTTACAAGCAGGGCACTTTGTGGTTAGTTGGTGCGTGGGTGTGGGGAGCCTGGGTGAGTAAGTGAAGTTAGATAACCGCTGGAGTTCAGCTGTTGTGAGCTGCTTCTGTAAGAAGCCGGTAGCTGAGGCCGGGGACCGTTCGGGAAGCCAAAAAATGGGGAACGTCTGCCGTTGGAAGCCGTTACCAGAAAACAGCCGGCTGAGGAGACTTTAGTATGTGCTTTAGGGAACTATAAAGTATGTCAGTTAGTGAAACGGTTATTACTACTTGTATTCACGGTTCTGTAAGGGTTCAATTACCAATCGAAACCCCAGCCATACACACACTCCACACACGTGACAGACAGACAGACAGACAGACAGACCGAAGTTGATGGCTAATCAAACAAAGTAAGCAGCAGGAAGCCTCACAAAAGACTACGCCTGACATCGGTAATGACCATCAAACAAAGGTTCGTAAGGGTGTTCCCCCATACCGATGTCACGCAAAACTTGTGCGTTTCGCATGGGGTTATGGGCTTTGTACGCATTTCGTGCACTGTTTCATTATGCTGTCGGCATTTGCAGGAATATGATTTTTGCTCCATCTCACGTGCACCTTCTTCCTATAGTATGTTATGTCCTACCGAAATCTGAAAAACAAAACTCCATCAATTGTTACACCTTCAATTCTAAATAATACAACTTATGTTGTGTAGCTTTTTGTTGTAGAAGCTTCTACGCAGTAAGCACGGTTGTGAAGTCCAAAGAACAGTTTCCATGATGTACGAGTTAGTATGTGCGTATTTGGTATGCTATTCCCACGATATGTATCTTACAATCATGCAATATGGCGTATGTGTTTCTTGTCTGGGTGTATACGAGTTCGGCGTATTCTGCACTGTGCGGTGGTTCGATGTAATTGTCTACACAACATACATGCCCATTTTCTACACTGTAGCAGTGAAACCTAAATACTTAATTTGGCATACACATTCTTAATCTACCATAAAAATCCTTTAATATATTTTTTAACATTTTTAATGTAATGTTTTAATAATATATTAAACACTTTGATATAAAGTATACCCTTATATCTATCTTTTGTCTTAATTATGTATTTGCTACTTCAAATATAACACCAATCTGAGGCAAAGGTTTTGTGTTAGTATTTAATACGACGCGTTGGACCGATCATGATCAATATCTGTAAAATCAATACAAAGTCCGTCGAGTGTAACAATGTTTTTAGGTCACTTCTTTCTCACTCTTGCCTTACATGTTTCGGTTTTAGTAAAACCATCTTCAGAGGCACATGGTACTAACATGAAAACAGTGGCGTTGTTTAACTGTACACAGAATATATGCTGTGTGGGCACTGCTACAAATGTCGATGTGTAAAAGCACAACACTAGCTTGGAGTATTGAATGCACGTTCAACTTTCGCATTCCATCCGAAGTTGCCCTCGCGTTAAAACATCACTATTAAAATATTTAAAAATATTTAAAAGTTTAAGACTTTTGAAGTAAAATATAAAAATGTTAGGCTGCTTCTTAATTTATCCCGATGTTGGGAGATCTCCCAACTTAAACTTTTAAATATTTTTAAATATTTTAATAGTGATGTTTTAACGCGAGGGCAACTTCGGATGGAATGCGAAAGTTGAACGTGCATTCTGTACGTGCATTCAGTACTCCAAGCTAGTGTTGTGCTTTTACACATCGACATTTGTAGCAGTGCCCACACAGCATATATACTGTGTACAGTTAAACAACGCCAGTGTTTTCTTGTTAGTACCATGTGCCTCTGAAGATGGTTTTACTAAAACCGAAACATGTAAGGCAAGAGTGAGAAAGAAGTGACCTAAAAAACATTGTTACACTCGACGGACTTTGTATTGATTTTATGTATAACAGTGTAACGGACCAAAATGAAACAATTCAAAATCAATATCTGTGTTTCAATGACTATACGTATTCTTGTGTTTTAACTGCCTGATGATGGTCTTGTACGACCTAAACACGTAGCAGTAATAAAGATCGAAATTAAACTAAGTATTTGTTGTGTTAACGGTAGACACAATTCATACATATATTGGTCTGGCAGCGTGTTAAACGCGAAATAAGCAGTTCCTTATTTCGTGACTTCAATATAACGAAAAACTTAATCTACAGTTCGTGTTGCACAAATGTAGCTAATATTAAGCCTACTTAATAATTACATACGCAAACATTTTCAGTACCTTCAGAAGTTCAACTCCTACGGTGAATTACGCAACTGCTCTGCTGGCAACTCTCGTTATCACCTTCCTCTCTGGTTCTGATAAGCGGGAACTCCCACACACACACGTGACCGCTTACTGGGCAGGAAACGGCATATCTCCACCTACAAATCTGACTGAGGCGCTGCCTAGACACGGGTAGAGTGTCAACTGCAACGACAGTCTAATGCTCGCTCATGCCCTTGTGCCTACTGAGCTATCCCGGCTCCCACAGTCCTTACGTTATAGGATTACGATGGTTCGAACGGAATGGCACATGCCAACCCAATACACATTCCTTACAGTCTGCCAGTCGAACTCAATCATTATAATTAGGCCTGTGACCTGAGCAGCACCGCAAGAGGAAAACCGGAGGTACGTCAGAGTATAATGCCACATATTTAATTGCATCCTGTTGTGTTTTTATCACTGTGTATATACAGGGTGTTTCACGACTTAAGGGCATAACTGCAGGAGGTGATTTCCTAGGTCTTTGTGATCAAAAAAGTTCATATAAACATGTGTCCGATTTTGGACGGTTACGACCGTTTTTTCATTCCCGTACACGCCCTCGTGTGAACCGCGTCTGTCAGCTGGCGGGTCGCTGTCTGTAGCCAGCTACAGAGCGTTCTCGTTATCTCGACACTTGACATGTACCTAAGGTGGGGAGGGTTGGTGTGTCCGGCGCGATTCACAACCGAGCGGTAGCCTGTGTTGCGGCCGGCAGTGGCATTTTCGAAAATCAGCTTTAAGCACCAATAAATTCAAATTAAAGGTAATTTCATGAAGTTGACTATACATTCATACTTTAAATGTATCATGTATTATGCTGGTTTATTATTTTGTTCCGTTTATTGTCAGTAATCGTTACCTTCTATTGAGTTTAAAACGGTCATAACTCCGTAACCGTCCAAAATCGGACACATGTTTATATGAACTTTTTTGATCACAAAGACCTAGCAAATCACCTCCTGCAGTTATGCCCTAAAGTCGTGAAACACTCTGTATACTCGTATGTGTTCTTGTATACCTTGTATACCTGTTGTGTTCAAACACAACAGCTTGTGATTCAGTTAGGAGGGAACTATTGTACAATATTCTGATAGAGCTTGGGATACCCATGAAACTAGTTCGGCTGATTAAAATGTGTTTAAACGAAACGTATAGTGAGGTCCGTAAACATTTGTCTGATAAATTTCCTATCCAGAATGGTCTAAAACAAGGAGATGCTTTATCGCCACTCCTTTTCAACTTTGCTTTAGAATATGCCATTAGGAAGGTCAAAGGAAACCAAGTGGGACTGAAATTAAACGGGACACATCAGCTGTTGGTCTATGCCGATGATGTGAATCTACTGGGTGATAATATAGATACCATAAAGAAAAACACACAAACTGTAATTGACGCAAGTAAAGAGGTTGGTCTAGAAGTAAACACATAAATAACTAAGTATATGTTTCTGTCTTGTCACCAAAATTCAGGGCAAAATCATGACACTTGTGTGCTGTCCAAAAACATAAAAATTAGAATATACAAAACTATAATTTTGCCTGTGGTTCTGTATGAGTGTGAAACTTGGTCTCTAACATTAAGGGAGGAACATAGACTGAGGGTGTTTGAGAACAGGGTATTGAGAATATTTGGACCGAAGAGGGATGAAGTGACATGAGGTTGGAGATAACTGCATAGTGAGGAACTTCATAACTTGTACTCTTCTCCAAGTATAATTAGAATTATCAAGTCGAGGAGGGCAGGGCATGTAGCACGAATGTGGGAGACGAGGAATGCATATAAGATATTGGTGGGAAAGCTAGAAGGAAAGAGAACACTGGCATGACCATGGCGTAGGTGGGTGGACAAAATAAAAATGGATCTTAGAGAGATAGGATGGGATGGTGTGGATTGGATTGATCTGGCTCAGGATAGGGACCGGTGGAGGGCTCTTGTGAACACGACAATGAACCTTCGGGTTCCATAAAATGCTGGGAAGAGTAGCTGCACAACTGGCGGCTCCTCAAGAAGAGCTCAGCAAACACAACAATCAACATAACTCACTTCCACTCTGTCTTGTCAACTGAGTTTTTATTATTTAATCCAATACAAACTCAGTTGACACGACAGAGTGGGAGTTATTTTGATTATTGTATTTGACAGGCATATAAAAACAAATATATAGTGCATACTATATGATTAATTATTTCCGTTTAAAAAAATATAATTGAACCCTTTGAATCTGGGAAAAAACTTCATAATCAACAAATAATATATTTTATCCTACGCAATTAACTGGTATCCCTGAATTCTGTTTAAAACACTTAATATCAATTTCCCGCAGACCTGTTCGGCATTCCTGTCTTGATCCGGGCCTGTACTAATAGTGTATATACGCTCCTGCGTAAGAGGCTCGCTCACGTGAAAGTCACGTGCCGGGCACACGTTATCTTGAGATACGAACTCCTGTGTCCTACTGTCTGTAATATGCCACGTACTCGGGATAGAATTCGTTGTCTTCATATTTCACATACACAGACTTTGAATTCCCTATTGTCGTGTCATACCCTTCTTTCGGGGATTTCATCCAGTACTTCCCCTTATGGCACTTTCCTACGAGAACCCTGGTAAGTATGAGGGCTCGTTCGGTTCCAGCATTATAATTGCAATATTTGTTGGCATAATGCGCTCGAGGTGAGAAGCTCACCCCCTTTCCAAATTTTGCACGCTTCGTACGTCTCCAATCTAGATTATTAGCAGCGATGGAGTCGACATTGCTTTGTGCCGTTGCGTGGAATAATTCCAGCTCCTTAACTGCGGACCCAAGACGATGTTCATATTCATTTTTCTTTAACGTGTAGCAACCCCAGATATAGGGGTTCTGTATCCTCACAATTCTGTCTATATGCACTGGTAGAGTCGAATGAACTTTACTTTTTACTTTCAAATATTCCGGGCTGTTTGTGGGTAGCTGAACAAGCTCCACTTCCTTATCTAAGGGCATGTCCATCCAAGTTGAAGGCTTGTGGCTGTGTGCAACAGAAACTTGATAAGGTTCTTCCTCCTCTTCATAACACAATTCTTCTTCCTCGTCGTATTCATCATCATCATCCCAGTACTCATCTTCTCCGTCGTATTCCTCTTCTTCTTCACACCCTTCTTCCTCGTCGTAGTCCTCTCCTTCGCACCCCTCCTCTTCGTCATATTCCTCTTCTTCTTCACACCCCTCTTCCTCGTCGTAGTCCTCCCATTCTTCACACCCCTCTTCCTCGTCGTATTCCTCTCCTTCCCACCCCGTCTCTTCGTCATATTCCTCTTCTTCTTCTTCTTCATCGTAATCATGTGCATCATAGCCGTCATCGTCTTCACTGCTCGACGACAAATACTGCTGCGAGGAAGGTGAACGCCAGTTCGAGCAACTTGGCTTGTAAGCATCCATTTTGAATAGACGGGGGCAACTCCTGAAATATAAATTAGGGCTGAACAGAAACAAAATTTAAGTTAATTTTATTCGTCAAGACACACCGGATATCGGCATATTCTGTACAAAGATGATGACAGCGTAAGCACATGGTTAAAGGTACTCGAATGACAATTTTTGAGTTGTCAATGAACAAAACTCTCTAATGAATGATATTACCTATTTCGTGCGTCTCTCTCACTACAGCCAGTCTCCGCTTTTACGAATAGTTACGTTCTTGGAAAACAGTTCGTAATGCAAACCGCTATATCCCATAGGCGCAATGTTATAATAATTCCGGGGTATGTCCCCGAACGAACCAAATGCGAGAGAGACCACAAATTTTATTGCTTGAAATGAAAGATGTGTCGTAATTTTAAAGAATCTCCCTTAAGCACACGTGTACGCAGCGCGAATTTTGATACTTCCAAACAATGAAAACTTTTCCATTTTCAGCAATGAGCCCATAAAGTTTTCGTATCACTGTAGATAACAACCTCGTAGTTCTCTTTACTATCTCATGAATCTTGGATCTAGCGTTGGGAATAACAGCCAAAGTTGATGCATAAAAAGTAAAGCTTGTGCTAAGTACAGTAAAACCTGCCTTAAACAGACCCATTATTAAAAGGAAATCTGTCTTAAACCGAAATATTTTCACATCCCTTGACTTTGGGGCTGAAAAAGATGTTAAATAACCTGGATTAAACGGAAACTGTCTAACGCGGACAACGAAGTCAAAATAAGCCTTTATACGGAAAATTTCCAGTCTTCCGGAATGCATCGTTTGGATAATTTTAGGCATCCTATACATTCTACAGAATTTTGTTTTCCCCAACTCTTTAAAATAAGCTTCTAACGGTACTGCACTACCTGCACTGAGATTCAGCAGAATTGTTTTCCCCTTCTGGAAATTGTATTCAGTAAGGGCCCTAGGCCTACAGTTTTACTTTAGTCTAGCAGTTCTCATCGTGGCTACAAAGACAAGAGTTGTGCTTGATCTTAACACAAGACTAAAAGAGATTCATGAGAGTGAGCGAGATAAATTGTCTGTTAAGCAAATCGTGAAGATGTTTAACGTCGGTAAAACTCAAGTGTATGAGATTCCAAAGAAGAAAACGAAAATTTTGAAGCGGTGGGAAACTTGTGCTAATGGAAAAGTAAAAGGAGAACTTAAGAAAACTGCGAACGAAGACGTTAATGAAATAGTGTGATAGCGGTTTGTCAGTGTGAGGGCGAAAAATCACCGGTTGTCGGGTCCTATGGTACAGGAATATGCTAAAAAAAGTCGCTGAAAAATGGGGAAGACTGACTTCAAAGCATCTAACGGATGGTTGGAGAGTTTTCGCAAAAGACATCGGATAGTTTTTAATGAACTTTGTGGTGAATCAAGTGATGTAAATAGTGAGACCATTGAGGAATGGGAAGCTAAATTGCCATCCATAATCGAGGGATATGAACCTGAAAACATAGCGAACGGTGATAACACTGGACTGTTCTTCCACGCGCTTCCGAATAAATCGCTATGTCTGAAAGGTGAAAAATATTTGGGAGGAAAATTGTGCAAAGAAAGATTGACTGTTTTTCTATGTGGTTTTATGTCACGTGAAATGGAGTAAACCTTAGTTATTGGCAAGCCAGCAAAGCCACGATGCTTCCGAAACATTGACATAAGAAACTTCCCGTCGAATGGAGATCCAACAAAAAGGCATGAATGACGTCACAGATCATGGAGGAATGGTTAACGGCCTTCAATGGTAGAATGAAAATGCAAAAGCGGCATGTTTTGTTGTTCTTGGATAACGCAACATGCCACCCCCATATCGAACTTTCCAACGTGCGACTTGCTTGGTTCCCTCCAAACACCACTAGTGTTTCTCAACCAGTGGATCAGGGCATCATTCTGAATGTTAAGGTCTACTATCGTAAATTATTAATGCAATCCTTGCTTGTCAATATAGATTCTACATCATCCGCCTCTGAAATTGCAAGAACTGTCTCGGTTCTAGATGCGGTTATTTGGATAAGTCAAGCAGTAAAGAAGTTGTTACCAGAAACTGTGACAAAGTGTTTCAAAAAAGCAGGATTTTCTACGGTAGAAGTTACTCCGGATTTTCTACAGTAGAAGTTACTCCTAGTGTAGAAAATGAGAATGACCAGCAGAACTTACAACATTGCATGAATGAAGTTGCTTAAAGGTACTGCAGGAGTTTGCCGTGCAACGGAATAATTCAGACATGCTTACTCTAATTTCTCAAGCTAAAGTGTTTGTGGAAAGTCAGGCAGCCAAGAGGGTAAACTGCGTGCAAAAAAAAAAAAAACTCTGCCGGACTTCTAGTAAAATTATAAAAAATGAGTACTGCAATTTTTTCCTGTTCAGTGTAATGTTTGCATGTGTTCAATGATTATAGTGTGAATAAATTAATGAGCATGTTGTTTTGTTTTGTCTCAAATACGTTGATGTCCTGGTTTAGTTATTATAGTATACCTTGATCAAACGGAAAGCTGGCTTCAGGGGAATTTTTTCTTGTCCCTTGAGATTCCGTTTAAGACAGGTTTTACTGTATCACTAACTTCTATCACCGACAAGTTTAATTATTTCAGCCTCCATTTCCAATGTAACAGACTACCTTGTGCAGTTCCTTGTAGCCCCATCACAGCTCTTATCATCCATGAATAATGGGCTATAAAAACAAAATTATTTTAAAAGTCAGGAAACTATTTGTCAGCGCCCAGACCGGCCCCGACCCGAGTCCCACCCAGTTTATCCAGTGGGTATAGAGGACTGCTTCTCCTCGGGTCTAAAGCGGCGAGGGCATAACGCTGACCACTTACTTCAATCTACTGACGAAGTCAAAAATAGTGGTGCTACACCTCCAGTCCCCATACACCTTTATCGCTATCGTTGTGTGCACGGACTTTCTTTTTTATAGTACTCTGCGAGTAAAATGTTACTCCCACCTAACAGCTGTCTTAGAAGTTTCGCGTCCCACTTTCACGTGGGTCACCTGCGAAACAGTCACTGCCATCTACCAGCTTTCTTAGTTACTCACACTCCACTTTCACGTTGGTCACCTGCAAAACAGTCACTGCCATCTACCAGCTTTCTTAGTTACTCACACTCCGCCATTTCGGAGCCTTCTCAACACTACGTAACAATTGGCGCCAGAGTCTACGTATACATACAATTTGTAGTCCTTGATAAAACATGTATATAATCAAAATGCCGATTCATGTTGTACTTGCCTGCGTCTGGTTAAGTGCCTCCTGCTATCAACACTTTTCTTACAATTCTCCAGCAGACTGAACACGTAACTCTGCTACTTGACTCATCACTATTGTGTTCTACACAGCACGACATACAAAGTTGTGCGGCAGCGTTGCCATGCATCAAGACGCACTATTGCGCTTCCTGTGGAAGATACCTTACCAACTGCGTGGAGACCGGCTCTGAAGTGCACCCTGCTTCCTATACAACACGCGTCATAGCAGTTTCTCTGCAGGTTAAGAGGAATGGCGTTGACACTGACAATTCGTCCGTCATTCACTGCAGAGATTAAAGATTTATATACTTCCATTCCCAATGTCTTTGTGCAGTGACGCTTAATTAATTAATTCTTGCCTTATACATATAAATAATAATTAACTATACTTGTTTTTCAGTTAATATTAAACTTGGGAACGTCGCACAAAGCATCTTCTAACAATTTAATCACTAGCTTTGACAACACTGTAATGGAATTTTACCTACAGGGTAGCCAACTTTGGCATTGCTGTTTTGAATACTGCTTCCCTTTGCACTGTAATTACGTTATTGTTATGCCGCGCAGTTCTTGAACTAGTACACACTTCCTTGGTTATTTAAGATGGAAATTAAAACTTAAATAATACCATGTGAACAGGTACGTCCATATTTAACTAAATTAGCCACCAATTCTACATGCATTTAAGATTATACATGGTCTCTTCGTATTTATGCTTCAAGACTTTACACCTCTGCGCTTCACGTGGACCGGAGCGCTGCTTGCCGTTATAAATGTAAAAATTTTGAATCGGTAAATTCAAATATTTCACAACCCAGCAACTACTCAGAACATCAAAGTCTAAAGTTATTCGGGCTTGATCCAGATCACCTTCAAACTTGTCAACCTAATTCACGTAACGGACAAACCTAAAGCTGGCAGACAAAACAAAACACCCCTGCTTCTGCATCTGAAATGTACAAAGTTTTCTCCCAATATCATCTATTCTAAGAGTTCTCAATGGTTCTTTAATGTTATCCCTACAACTAAAACTCAAAAACTCGTACAATTTAGCTGCATTCTACAAACATCAGATTCTCTGAAACAGCAAAGGATTATGGCTGAGATAATGCCTTGAGGGAAACCAGGCAGGCCACTCACCATGCTTTCATATTTCAATCAACTTCCAACATATGCATATTCCACCAAAAGGAAAATCATCTAAGCCAAGCAAATTGTGAAAGCATCTTAAAACCAATTTCTCTTTAACAAATATCATCTCTTTTAAATATCATGACAACACAGCCAAATTAACAACCTCTGAATCCTGGAATCTCAGCATCATCATACACGTGGAAAATTCTGGAACATCCATGAATTAGTAAATCTTATGATCTGTATATAGCCTCACAAACTCTTGGCAGCCTGGACCTACTGCATTTCTGATGTATAAATTCTTAATCAACTTTGTAACCAGTATTTAGATTATGGATCATGAACAACCAGATTACACATGCTTTTCTTCTGAGCATATCAATACACACTGATTTATTTATTTCTTTGCATTTGTACGCACAAGTCTCATTCAAGTATACAGTCACATTAGACATGTATCAAAATCAGACATATCAATACACACAGATAGATTTATTTATTTATTTATTTGTATTTGTATGCATATTTCTCATTTCAGGTACACAGTCACATTAGACATGTATCAAGATCAGACATATCAATACACACTGATTTATTTATTTCTTTGTATTTGTACGCACAAGTCTCATTCAAGTATACAGCCACATTAGACATGTATCAAAATCAGACATATCAATACACACAGATAGATTTATTTATTTATTTATTTGTATTTGTATGCATAAGTCTCATTTCAGGTACACAGTCACATTAGACATGTATCAAGATCAGACATATCAATACACACTGATTTATTTATTTCTTTGTATTTGTACGCACAAGTCTCATTCAAGTATACAGCCACATTAGACATGTATCAAAATCAGACATATCAATACACACAGATAGATTTATTTATTTATTTATTTGTATTTGTATGCATAAGTCTCATTTCAGGTACACAGTCACATTAGACATGTATCAAGATCAGACATATCAATACACACTGATTTATTTATTTCTTTGTATTTGTACGCACAAGTCTCATTCAAGTATACAGCCACATTAGACATGTATCAAAATCAGACATATCAATACACACAGATAGATTTATTTATTTATTTGTATTTGTATGCATAAGTCTCATTTCAGGTACACAGTCACATTAGACATGTATCAAAATCAGACATATCAAACACAAAGAAGGCAATATCAAAGTGAAAATTCACGACATAAAGCAACTATATATATATATATATATATGTGTGTGTGTGTGTGTGTGTGTGTTACTAAAATCAAGATCAGTCATTTCAAACATGAGGCAATGTGTTACTAAAATAAACAGGTTATACACCACATCCAAATCCGAAAGTTACTGTGAATATTTTGTAGATACTATTTCTGAAATGACTCGCCAATTGGAATTTATGTATTGTCATTATACTATATATAAAAACATGCAGGTTGTGGCAGGAATATTAATACAAGATTACATGATGAGATGATGTGCAGTGTGGTAGGTGGGTACATGTCTGCTAACTACATGGCATAACAACCCACACAACAATTTAAATACTTCTCAGTCAAATAGTGGTTAATTTTTTAAGCTCTATTTCCTAAAAATATTTCTACACACAATACTGTGATCCACACTTAATAGGTTAAGTATGTTCAAATGAAAAATACAAAGTTACCACATCCAGGCATTTGAATCAAACTGGATAGGTATCGTATATCTGAAAATTGAGGTTGGAGCTTTCTTGTAATGTCACCCAACAGTAGAAAACTATTTCAACATCTTCCAAATCTTTTTCGCAATCCTAACAAACGTTTTATACCTCTTAAACTCTTGTCAAACTAATATTCACTAGAGAGAGAGAACATCATTCTACAAACATAATTATTCTATCCAATGGGTACCACGGGCTCCTTCCCCTGTTGAAAATCGGCCTGGGCGTTAGAACTACCCACTCACTTAAAACTAATGCAGAGGTCATGCAAACCTTTGTTGTGTAGTGCTTCATTACTTAAGCACAGAACCTTTATATTTATTTATATACATATAGGAGTATATTTATATAGTGTTTACATGCTCGTATATGAGTGTGTGCGTCCAAACAATTCTCAGAGTGAGCTGGAAAATAACTACCGGCTACAAAGTAACAAAGTTTGACTGATTTATACCCACACTTCCCCCCCCCCTTCTTTTTTCAAAACTGGAATATTCCTCCTCCCCCTTTCTTTTTTCAAAACAGTGGAAAATTGGAAAGCGCCGCATTAAAAAGTTATCCAAACGGAGTCTACAGACAGTTCCCCCTATAATATGCCACATATTGTGGGTAAAACTCATTGTCATTGTATTTAACATAGACTTTTCCACCGTTGCCTGTGCTCGTATCTGCAGTACGTGGGGGTAATTCCATTCCGCCATACCCAGCACAAGTTCTGCAAACCAGTACCTGCGCAATAATCATGGCACGTATGGATGAACTACAGCTTCGATTGCAGTAGGTGTTTGCGTAATTTGGACATGGAGAAAAACTGACGCCCCCTCCAAACTTCGTGCGTACACTTCGACGCCAATCCAGATTATCCGTGGTTATAGACAGTACATTAGCAATGTCGGTGGCATGGAATAGTTCCAGCTCTCTGCAACTCCCATACCGCTTTATATACTCTTCTTTCTTGAGCAGGTAAGAGCCTAAACAGTAAAATAGTTAACGTAAGGGAGGTTAGTACGTCTCGCAAAGAATAAAATTATTTAAAAGCAATACTTCAGTTATGTATAACTGCAATTCGTTCACGTAAAAACCCCGTAATTAACCCACGTAGAACAAACCGAACTCTTAAAAAAAATTTTTTTTTTGTGCACGAGTAAGAAAGGTGGAGCCGTAATTAAGTCTCGCTGTTAGAGAGATGGGATCTATCTGGCTCAGAACCGGGACGAGTGAAGGGCTCTTGTGAACACGGTAATGAACCTTCTGGTTCCACAAATTATTGGTAAGTTCTCGAGCAGCTGCACAAACTGGCGACTTCTCAAGTAGGGCTCAGCTCCGTGTAGTTTATTAGGGGGAAAGTTGGGCAGGGCCTCCAAATATTTCATATAAATGTACTATTTTAAACTTCAGTTCCTACTGTGCAAAAGACAAACTCGATACCCATAACAATGCCTATTATCAAATGCTGTACAGGGCAATGGTAGCCATTTATTCTGAGAAGCGTATAAATCCACACACACACTGCAAGGCAGAAAACGTTATCTGAATATTAGAGCAGGTGGTACATGTAGAGTTTACGTAACTGTCACTACCACCATTACTTGTCTGCATTATTACACTGCAATGCTGCTAAGTTGCTATTATCATTACTTGTATCATCGCCTTGGCCACGCTCTTGAAACATCGCACAAATTCTGTGTACTCACATATTTCTACCCTTACAATTAAACCACGGCACCCGTTATCTTATCTACTGCGTGGTTTTCAGAAGCTGCTACTGACTTCAGTAGTATACTCACCAAAAAGATATGGGTTCTCAACCCTGAACACATTACACACATCTACATGTCTGACAATCGGTTTTATTTTATTCTTAGCAGAAATAAATTCTGGGCTGTAATTCGTCAATTCTTGAAGCACTTCCCTACGAGGCACCTTATTGCTCCACGAGGGTGGCTTGTGTCTGGACAATACATCTCTTGCCAGTGACGAATCCATTACGATCTGTAAGTACATATGTATATGTATGTACATGCGTATGTGCGTAATACGTCACCGATCCCAACACAGCGTGGCCTAAAAACATTCTTGAAACAAATATCGAAAAATGTTTCATGCAGAATTTACATAGAGTTAACACGAATATACAGTGCGTACAATCAAGTGCGCGCCGCGGCTGCAATTTGCCGTGAGTGATACCACCGCAGAACGGATGCAACTCCCCTCCCCGACTGCGGGGTGGGGGCAATTTTACGTACTCCTACGCGCCTTTACGCAACTGCGTTTGATCTCCGAAAACGGATTTTGCTGAATCGATCTGGGTGGAGTGGGGTGCGACAATAAAGCACCGCCGCTCACTTCCGGATTTTTGAACGGTAACGTTAACCCTGTGCGTAATTCAGTACGATGTCATGAAAACATGGGGGAGTGGAGGTATAGCTCCATCAGTCTTGTGGTGGAGTGGAGGTATAGCTCCTGCACACACGCGCACTAATATTTGGTATCACCTTAAAGATGGTGAATTAAGCGAAGACAAACACAACGCCCATACAAATAGAACGCACCTACATGAATGTTATGAGGGGTAGCCTCCTCGGCCCTTGCGCCGCGAGATACAGTGGTCTATTGTGCTTAACGCACCTACATACTACGATCATCATCAAAACCTATATCCAAAACATAATTTACAAACAAATTTACTGACTGAAGCAGCACGCAGATCCTTAATACATTAAACACAACTCATATCTGGGCAAGTAACTTCCACATCATGAGGCTAAAACCAGCGTGGGTTCACATGATCTACCCCACACGGAAACCTTCAACTCCATAGCAGGAATTATATACATATCCTCCATGTTATTTTAATATTTTTTAATACTTAATATTTTTACTTATTTTTTGACGCGTAATATTTAACTTTTATTCGTATTATAAAATTTCGCATTCGTAATATACATCTTTTAATTACCTCCACTACTATTTTAAATTACAAATTCTTGTATATTCTAATTTTTCCAATACTCTTCTATATTGTAATTTCTCGTCATAATACAAGGCACAAAATTCTACCACTTTCATAATACAGACGCGTTGCACCACAGTATGTATCCATATTGCGATTTCAATTAACTTCATCTCATTATATACACTGCCTGATGGCGGTCTCTGGAAGGACGAAACACGTAGCGGCAAAGAATAAAATTCAATTAATGTAACAGTACTAATTTTAACTGTAATACAATTTCCCTTGTTGTGGTGCCGGATACATTACATAACCATAAGTTGATTTATGACCGCAATATATGACGAAATAGCATTATCTGATTAGGAACGGAATACACCATAAATACTTAAATGGTTACTTCACGAATAAACAACATACAACAGCAAAATGAATATCAAAATAACTTATACCTTGTCACATGTGCTTCATTTACGTCTACTCAGGCAACAAGTCATTAATTACGAGTAAAAAATCACCCCCCCCCCTTGTTCACATTCGATGTTTCAACGAACTACGTCTACCAAATGCGGGTATCAGAATTACTTCTCACCTTAACTTCGGCTAACAAGACCTCAAAAACACCAAACACCAACTGCGATGACGTATACTCTCTATCTATTCACATCTCGAGCAACTCTTGTCTGCGCCGTCTGGGCTTGCGACTCTCCTTAGCATCAACCAATCGCGGATCGCCCATCGTGCAGGCCCACTAGGACTCCCCTACTGCAGCCGCCGCAGCCACTCATACCACGTACAACCCGAAGCATACACGTGGAATGCGATTTGGTATGGGTTTGAATGCGGCCCCAATAAAACATGGACGTGCAAAGTGAGGTACTCACTCCATGGTGCGCAACCCATTTAGAGAAGCCAACTGTTGCTCAGGTAGTCAAGAATTTCCAAACTTTTAATTTCATCTTGACTGAGAACGCCGTTTCTATGTTTATATGGATTAGTGCAAAAACACTGCAATAATTGAGACTTACTTAATGCACATACAATGAAATCGCAACCACATTTTGTCAGCAAATTAAGTTAAATAGAAATGTGAAAGCTCACACACACACGCGCGCACGCACATTACAATCATCTTTGTACTGTGATATTAGTCCAAAAGCACAAAATGTCGGCGACTGTCACAGCGTTGCCAAGGAGCAGCCATTTTATCTTGGGTTTGCAACATTGATCCATTATTGAGTTCCATTAATTGGAACAAGCTCAAGAAAACACTGCTCCGTCAAAACAAACTTCATACATGCCTTAAATATTTATTGCAATCAAGCTACATGTTGAAATCATGTCGCACCGGTTTGTATGACTCCACGTGTCACACAAAATAAGAGTCTGTCTTAAAACTCTCTAAACTGAACATTAAAACTGATATTGTAGTCTTATCAGACTGCCCACATCTTCAGAGTAGGAGTCACTTCAGCCCTCAAAATGGAGGAAATATGGTGAGTGGGAACATCGTGCCGGAGGAACAAACTTCAGCCTCCGTTCTGGTAGAAGTACCCTCCTGAAAAGGGAGGAAATATATTTTTTTTCCGAAGCGTTGGTACCGACCTACAGAGATTACACGATGACGTAACTAAGAAGACCACAACATGCATCTTCACCACAGAAACACCGAACCCTATACAAATGCTGAAGTATCATCAGCTTGGTCGTCATCAGCATCATAGTCTGAAACTTTGGATCCACTCTCTTCAACTGTAACATAGATTGATCCTTGCAGCTCAACTTCGGGAGTCCAGTGGATCTTGTTCCTCTGCGTGTATGGTCCATTAACTGTTTTGGAATGAGTTCAGGTTCAGTTCTTTCAACATGATGAATGAAATTAAGTCCATTATTTTGAATTCTCTTATTTAAATTCAATATACCGAGTTTATTTGTAATCACTATATTTATACTTCGAACTCTTTAAAGGCTGATCGATCGGATGGTTAAATTCCTGCTAGCCTTCGCCAGCACAGTCATTGCTGGCTTCAGTCTCCTTGAGATCCATGACCAAGATTTTTGTTCTCTCTAGACATGTACGTGCTTAGAAGTGGCGCTAAGTTTGTTGTACCTTAGTTTCAGCACGAGTATATACGCACTGTCATGGCGTCCAGATCACTACGAACTGTGTCCTCCCTCTTTTCACTGCACTGTACTAAGTAACCGTTATACAAGATAGACAGAGGTTTTCTGTGAGTGCAGGCTTGTGCAGCAGTTCTTCTAAATAGTATATAAATATGCAGTTCGTACCTCACAGCAAACACATTAAGGCCAACCGCTTAATGTTGTTTAGGTAAACAAATGCTGTTTATTGTGAGAACCACATGAAACACACAGATACACTCTGTGAGCACCATGCAGAGAGAGTTTCAATAAGTTAAACATGTGGAGCATATGGTGACCACTGGGATTTGGAAAGAGATAATTTATATACCGCTACATCTGTAGGAAACTTCATTTCTATTACTGAAATGTGTTCTGTGTGTTGCGTGCGTCAACATTAAGCCCTCGTCCTGCTTGAGGAGACCATCTGGGCCTAAGACGGGACGATTAACAATGGCGAAACTGATACATTTACAGGCGTACCCTCGAAACGAAATTGTGTTAGGACGATCAAATCAAGGAATGAATGGGTGGTTCATAATAGCAGACAGAAATAGGGATATAATGACGAAGCAAAAAGAAGTGTCCTTGGGGAAACCTCTTAGTAGGCTTGACTGTAGATGGGAGATAAAAATTAAAAAATTAAATTCATATGGGGGGGGGGTTGGAATGTAGCTGGGTTCACTCGGCACGTCGGCCACTGATTAGCCTATTGTACCTGCCCCGGGTGATTATGATGATGGAGAATTTGGTGGAATGAAGATTGGCAAGGGAAACCGAAGTACTCGGATTAAACCATCCCCATCGCCACTTTGTCCACCACAAATCCCACTTGACTGTAGATTGGAGGTAACACTAGCATTAACCTTTAAACGACTAAAGACAACGTATGTCGTCGTTAAGACGGATCTGAAGGAAACAGGAAGCGAGGTTGTAGACTGGATTTAAATGGCCCAGGACTGGACGCAATGGCAGGATGTTGTAAAAGTGGTAGTAAGACTTCTAAGGACATAAAGGGAGGGAAAATTCTTGAGCTTCTCAATATTGTCTCTATTCCACTGCAGCTCCGACCCCATGTCATGGAGATGAATTTCAATATACTCTCGTAGCCCAACCTCAGAAGGATACATTATGCGCAAATTTATTTATGTATTCAGCTGCTTCATGTGGCATTCTGGTTACGTACGTCTCTTGTACGTCAGTGTTCTGCACTCTTCAGAGAGGGGATATTCCGTGAGGGTGTAAAGCAGAGGTTTTAACACAGCGTAACAGATAATTAGATTTGTCATTTGCGTTAGTTTCATATTCCTGTATGACAGAAGGAAACTGCAGTAATACTTTCTACGTATCTCCAGTTGAAGGATGCCGTCTTCTGGGATGTGGCGCCGTGTAGATATTTTTAACCGACGTTTCGGAGGAACGTATCGCCCCCATCTTCAAGGTATAAGAAATCTACGAGCGATGAACCAGCGTGAGCAGGTGTCTGTGACTGCTATCTCCTTGTGGTATGTTGTATATGGCAGTAAATAAAAACAATAAAATGTTAACTTATTCGAAAATAGCGACCATAAACTTATATGAAGAAAGCAGTCTTCTGGGATTTGGCACCGCCGTGAAAGCCTCAAATCTTACATAAACTTATATATTTCAAAATTATTTACAATAATAAATCATACGTATATAGGGCCTACATGATTACATGTCTGGGCTACGAATCTGGTGTCTAGATTTGCTTATATAATCGGTTTATTATTGTAAATACAGTCTGTTATGATAGTTTTCATAACACTTCTGTTGTGTGCATACTTTCAACTGTTACGTTCTTTTTATTTCTTCTCCGTAGTTTCTGGCTTCAGATTTTTTTATTATTATTCTTAGTGGGGTGAGACTGAGTCCACTTGGTACTGCGGCCACTACTGGCCTATTGTACCAGCCCTAGATGACAGATGATAGGTGATGGTGGAGCAAATGGTGGAAAGAAGATTGGTAGGGGAAACCGAAGTACTCGGAGAAAAATCTGCCCCACCGCCACTTTGTCCACAATTCCCACATGACCAGACCCGGGCTCGAACCCCGTCTGCCGCAGTGGGAAGCCGTCGGCTAAACCACCTGAGCTATTATGGCTCGGGCTGATTGCTTCAATACTTACGTGTTACAGTATCTCGCCTTAAACTCTTCCAGCAAGACTGACCTATTGTTTGTGTACTCCTCACATGCACGCCCCCCACCCCCCAAACTTTGATCGTTTAATGACGCAATGAGTGTATACGTATACAATACTAAACATTTCCACACTCTGACTTTGGAAACTTTAGACAAAGTATGTTACCAATACGTTTTCCTCCTGTTTTTAAAATTTATCTTACCTACATGTTGCGTTGTGAACGGAGAAGTTCATGGAGGTAGGCCTTGGCCCACTGGGGCTCTAGTGCCAAAGGGGGGGAAATGTTGCGTTAGGTCATTTAAGAAGCAAGTATGAACGCTCTTGGTTCGATTTTCTGTGGGAAACCAGACGACACCACGAAGTGTCTGGTCATACTTGGATTCGAGATTTGCGAAAAGTTGTTGGCACTGACAAAGATTCAAGCCATTCCATTTCGCGAACTTCGTCGGCTTTTTCCTGCGCATATGTGATCATACAAGGCAACACTCGTTATCACAGGCTCAACGTCACACCGCCAGCTGCTGTCGGAGATAGTACGCACGCCATTTAAAAGTTCTAGGCTGACAAAAGATTCAATACCCTAACATGAATCCTGAGGTGACGTAAGGTGCCTCACTGAAATGGCGTATATGTATACAGGATGTAAATAAATATATGTTGCAATGCTCTGTGGCAGAGAGATGGGTTCAATCTTATCATATTTTGTAAATACGCCCATGTCCGGACACGCTTCCTTTTGGCACTAAGAGTCCCAGAAGTTTCCGAGAGGATGCATAAGTTTTAGGGGATGTTATCGTTGTTTTGCATTATAAAAGTTGCTCAAAATGGCGGCCGCCTACTTCGCTGCATGTTCTGCACCGCCTGGCCATGTTATGATGACCTATTTAAAAGATTCCCGGCATTTCCCGAATGGTTCCAGCTGCTACTGCAATTCTTGCCACAAGATCACATTGTGTCTCCACTGGAGTCTCATGTACCAGGCTTTCCATGTACCCCCAGAGAAAGAAATCCAGTGGAGTCAAGTCAGGGAAGCGAGGGGCCAGGTTATTGCACCTCCATGTCCAATCCATCTGTTGCCAAAAGTTTCACCCAAATACACACGGACAACATTGGTGCAGTGCGCTGGGGCGCCATCATGCTGGAACCACATTTCACGACGGACTTCCAAAGGCACCACTTCCAGCAGCTCGGGTAAGGTCTCTTGGAGAAATGTTAGGTGAATGTCACCTGTAAGCCACAGGTAAGAGGTAAGGGCGTCCTCATTCACATTTCAGAGGTCTTAGCGCGTAAACAAAGCGTTTCCGGACTTGGGTGTATTAGCAAAATATGATGAAACTGAACCCATCTATCTACCACAGAGCGTCGTAACATTTATTTATTTACACCCGGCACACACACACACACACACACACACACACAGGTCCATATAGAAGGGAGGGGGCAGCAGGATCGCTTGGCGCAGTCTCCTGGTAGTGCCCCAAATATACACTTACTTAATTTTTTAAAAATAAGTCTTTATCGGATTATGTCAAATAAACGTAAATAATATGTAAATTGTAAAACACTGAAAATCGTTTCTATTACATAATTTATAATTTATTTTAATAAATTACCGTAGATACGATCTTTAAAAGAAGTTATAAGATATAATCATATATATATATATATATATACAGTTTCCGGAGCGGGGTGGGTAGTGAAGAATGAATTGTAAAGGACACGGAAGGACACTGTATAGGACTAGTTGGGGGTATAAGTAAGGTTGTCCCTGCGTTCAGTTAATTAAGCACCACGCCATGAAGACGTATGGGGGAATGGTAGTATAGCTCCACTATTCTTGATCCCGTTGCTATATACGGCTGATTAGGCAGCTTCAAGCCTTGGCTTCTTTATCCTCGGGGAAAGAACCCCCACTGGATAGAGGGCTGAGTGGGCGCTATGGCGAATATAAAATTCTTGCATTGCCGGGAACCTAAACCAGGACGCTGAGCTCGTAGCCCGTTGCTATGCCGACTCGCCCGAAAGTATGCTGCTTCTTCAGCAACGTGCCTCTGCTACTGCAGCCGTCACTTCCCACTGTGCCTGTACGTTGAACGTTTGGAAGAGCATGGCTTCTCTTGAGAGATATGAATGGTATATTAGCAAAACCTGAAGACAAATGCACGTGAGAACTGCTTTTTCGATTTAGCATCTTGGACATTTCATAATTCAGTGCTCATACAGGGGCAACCTCACTTGAAAAGTGTTGGGAGAAAGACTGCAGATCCAAGCTGATTTCAACTGACTGCTGTTAGAAGTCTGTTATACCGTCGGTCTTTCAGTTGCCAAGACAGATATGGGGTTTCTTGAATGGAATTCAAAACATCTAATGAAACACAAGCCTGTGACATGCCACAGCTGCTGCAGGAAATGACTAATATGACGTAATACTACTTGGAACTAAACTGCGTTGCAGGGTTCCCGAGCACAAATACGAAATTAATTTCCTTTCAAGCAAGCTGTTCTCTCTTGCATATATTCAGTAAACTTCTGTTGACAAAGTAACCATCAGCTTGTAAAATATTAATAAAATAATGGATTTATAACCTTCAACGTGTTCTTTGTTACAATGCGCCATATTAGGATTATTAAAATATGCCCGTCCTGACGAAACTATGATCTGTAGATCTTATTTCAGTCCAGCGAGGGGTTTTCTACAATCCCATTCCCGTTAGCGTCAACGGTGGCGTATATATCCCGTTTTTATGGGATACAGAGGGGGTACGCGGTAGCGTAGTCAGTTGAGGCACTAAGCTACAAGCCGGAAGGTCGCGGGTTCGATACTCGATGAGGTGGATTTTATCACTTGACCTAATCCTTCCAGCTGCACTATGGTCTTGGGTTCGACTCAGCCTCTAACAGAAATGAGAACCAGGAATCTTTCTGGGGAGGTATGTATGAGGGGTAGGCCTTCTCGGCTCTTGCGACCTACAGTGGTCTATTGTGCTTGATTCTGGGGGGGGGGGCGGCAAAGAGAGGCCGGCGCCATCTGTGAGCCGATTGTCTAGAAAATGTGGGTGCCTCGATTTCTCACAACCCTATGGGCCTTCACGGCCTGTTACAGGGATAGTTTCGCCATTTTTTTTTACCTTGCTGGATGTAGAAATAAATTGTTGATAAGGAAAGGGGTAAATCAGCGACCGTAACCTCCAGTTCTGATTCGTCGCAGATTTGGGGGGAGGGGGGATGTGAAGCGCAACCAAAATTTTAGTACGAAAAGTGATAGGAAGAAACCACCTGGAAGACTGTATGTGTACTGGAAGGCAATATCAAAATGAACCGTAGAGGAACTGGATTCATCTGGCTCAGACGAGAACAGTGGCGACCACTTGTGAATCTGGTAATGGAATATAGTGATCCGTAAACGGGGAGTTGCTTGACTGGTTGTGCGATGAAACGCAAGAAGGAAGCAGCACAGTGTGCTTACACGTGCCGAGGGTTTCTGAGGCGGACACAGCCCCACTGAGATTCATCTGAGGATATCAGAATGGAGATGTATTGAGGAGATATATTATTTTATGTAGTACTGTCATAAAACTGGATAACATCGAAAAATACTGTGACATGACGCCAGAAAGCCGGAACAGTGGAGCCAGAGGAGACGTACATTGCTAGACAACGGCTCGGTAAACAGGTATCCACGGCAACGGGTACGCAAGCACCAATACAGGAATTGTTGGGAACGATGTTTTCTATTCGGTCCGTGCAAAGCGGTTATAAAGAAGAGTTCAGTCGAGAATTGTCAGTCGAGTTCCGAAGTTTCATGAGTGCATTTAGTCGAGGGTGGGAGTTGAATTACGGGATATTTGCCAGACGGCTAGGACATGAGTGCGGAAGATGAAGAATCTCCATCAGTATGATCCGTTACCAGGCAACGACTAATGGAGACTATAACCGACTGAGAACATTAGTGTGTGTGTAACAGTGAACTGCGAAGTGTAGTCACGAGTTGTGCGTATAAGTAGTCAATAAATCGAGTCACCAATCCAAACCCCATTATTAACTTATTACAATTCATTTTTTGGGGGGGGAGGTTGATCCATAAAGAACATAGCTGGGTCTCGAATTGTGTATCACTGCTCTGAAGGAATTCAAACATGCTAATTATTATTTTAAACTACGATCGTAACTTTACGAAACAGCACGGATCACACAAGTATGAAGAGGGGTGTTGCGCAATATACGTGTATTTCAGTTACTACACTAAGGACCGCTGAAATTTCAAAGGAAAATTATTAAAAACAAACTTTGATGAAAATACCCAAACTTAATAAATTGATTTCGTAATATCAACTACATATATATTAACATAATAAACTTGAGAGAATAATAACATGTACAAAGTCGGTGCTCCTATCTAGAGCAAATGTTTTTGGCAAAAACTGTAAATTATTTCACACACTCACTCACTCACTCTATGGAGCTGAGTCCTTCTTGAGAAGCCGCCAGTTGTGCAGCTACTCAAGAACTTCCCAGCATTTTATGGAACCCGATGGTTCATTACCGTGTTCATAAGAGCCCTCCACTGATCCCTATCCTGAGACAGATGAATCCAATCCATACCACATTTTATTTCTCTAAAATCCATCTTAATATTATCCTCCCGCACATGTCTAAGTCTTCCTAATGGTCTCTTTCCCTCCGGATTTCCCAAAGAAACGGTATATTCATTCCTCTTCTCCCCAATGCTTGCTACATGCCCTTCCCATACCATCTTCCTTGACTTGATCATTCTAATTATACTCGGCGGAGAGTACTACGTAGTTATGAAGCTCCACATTATGCAGTTTTCTCCAACCTCCAACCATTTCATCCATTTTCCATAAAAAAAATCTCCTCAGCACCCTGTTCTCAAACACTTTCAATCTGTGTTCTTCCCCCAATGTCAGAGATCAAGTTTCACGCCCATACAAAACTGTATAAAAATTATAGTTCTGTATATTTCAATTTTTATGTTTTCAGACAACAGACGAGAAGGAATGTTGATGGATTTGTATAAAATCAAATGCTTTCAGAAACACCTTCACAACAGAGCACATTAACCATCGTCTAGGTCTGCACTAAACAAGAGACATGCATTTCTTTCAGTCGCAAGTCATACACATCGTAACCAAATAACCGTCGGCCATTAAGGGATCTGGCCCTCAGACACAAACACCAACAGACACTTTGCACAAATCACTAATAACCACTGTTTCAGCATTACTACCATACATCTAATATTCTCTCCTATTTACATGTTACAGTCTCTGCTTGCATTAATACGCTGTCGCGGGTTATTCTGAACGAACCTACATTCAACAAATAATGGGAAATTTCGAAGTAAAATTCCCAACTCTACATGCAGTTTTCAACATAACCCGTCCGTTCATCCACTCTTATATACATTAAATCACGATTGCAATGAATATATACAGCATCAAAAATAGAAACTTGTACTCGGCAACGGCAGAGACTCCAATGCTGACTAAAGCATAGGTAACGTTCGCACTGCTACCTGGCGGTCATATCCGTAACTATAAACAACGGAGTCTACATAAGGACAGAATAAAGACTTCAAGCCTCAGGCTTTATATACGTGTTGTATTACGGCTTTTCCTCCCGTGTGGAGGATTAGAATACCTCCGCTGTGGCTCGTGCAGTCGTTGAAGGCGACGAAAGGGGAATCCCATGCCTGGGAGTATAACTACGCCATTCTGTCACTAGGCAACATAAACACACAGGGGCCGGGTTGTGGGTTGGACGCAAGACTTAACGCCTTGCTCTGTAAAAGAATTAATCTTGCGAGATCTAAAGAAGTGAAAAACAAGATGCAATCTGGCAGAATCTTCAAAGGAAGGTTGTGGCTCAAAATGGCCGTTCCGCCAATGATGATAATTAAGACTTTTATCGTTTTGCCCTTCAGGCCTCTATCGCAAATGCTAGGCAGAGATAAGTTTAAATAGCAATACTTCGCCAGTTGTATGAGATCGGCGTCATTTCGCAACCTGCTCACGCCCGTCGTGTTTTGTTCCTGCGCATTGAAGGCCAGTTGCTGGAGCGTGAAATATAACGCCCCTAGTGGCTGAAGATATTTAAGAATTCCATGACGGTAAAAGTAAGTAAAGCTATCCCTGTTACAGGCCGTGAATGCCCCACATTATCTAGACAATCGGCTCAAAGATGGTGGTAAAGTTGTCAGCCTTATGTGTCGGCCGGGCTTTACTCCCCAGGAAAATTATTTAAATAATTCCTGGTACTCATTTTTGTTAGAGGCTGAGTCGACTCCAGGGCGATAGTGCGGCTGGAAGGATTAGGTCAACTGAAAAAAATCCAATGACCTCATCGGGACTTGAACCCGCGACCTTCCGGCTTGTAGCATAGTGCCTCATACTGAATCAAAAACCCACGTTTATCTTACGGTGGGTCTTGACCTCAAGACTTTCAGTATAAACTGTGAAATCGAATCTGTATGGGCGGTGCCCATTGACCAGAGAGGGAGAGAGACATCCCGTGCTTAACTAACTAATCACTACACCATGAGGGCGTATTTTTGGAGTTGAGGTATAGATCCGCAAGCTTCACGCCCCGGCCGATTTTACCTCCGGTGCTTACTGGATAGGAGGTTGGGTGTGTCCCAGACCCGGCCTGGACAACGTGGATAAGAGAAAATTCTTCACTCTACTGGGACTCGAACTCCGACCTATCTGTCGTCCATCCCGCAGCCAGTCGCTATACCGACTACGCTATCCCGGCTCCTGCCTTTGAAGAGTACTTATAAATAAAGTATCCAGTTTACATACTAAGAGCGTCGATCGCTTTCATAAGGAGCCATGTACATTGGTTAGATATAAACTTAGAGGACTGCTTACTAATAAGTCTGACTTAAGGTGATGTTTCCCACATGCAATACAAATCTCAGTTAACCACACGTCAAAAGTAACAAATATTAAAATTCATTTTAGAAGACATTAATATCACAGCACTGTAAAAGTGGCTGAAATCCTGACATTTCTCGTTGCATTCAACACATGTAACAATAATTTTAAAAACCCTGATTATTTCTTACGTGAACCAGCCTTTGTTTTGAGTCATGTTCCTAGCGATCTCTATGATCTGACGAAATCAGGAGATGTGTCTCGTCTTTTAAACGAAAACAGTAGGACCACACCGAAGATTCCGTTTCGTTTCTAAAACAATTCGTTGCAGAGAAACTACTTTCAAACACTCAAACTGAGATAAAACAAAACTTGAAAACAAGTCTCTCAGAGTCATGGTTTATTTAAACGTCCGCCGGCGCCATTTTCCCCGATTTTTTCATTTCCCACGTGTTGAGTCTCTTCAGGGGGTAACACAGAATAGCGGATACCAGAATCAAACTGCCCGATAAATAGAAGGAAGCATCATAGCTGCCAGTAGCGTCCATAAATGAGCCTGAAACAGAACACACGAGTTAAAATATGAACGTGTGGTAACGCTGGTGAGATGAGTTCCTTGCCAAGGGGGAGGAGGTTAATGTAGCGGTAATATTTCGGACTTTACCGGAGATGATGGATACAAAAACGTACTAATACTATTATATTACACATGGGTGTTAAGCCCAGTAGTCTTAGCATCAAAGTGATTAAGCTTGATTTAAAGAACTGACTCAGTTTTGAAATACGTAAGCCACCTAAAGTACAAAATTAAGTTCTCGGCCTGTTTTAGAAGAAATTAAATTTGTGAAGAGAAACTTACATAAACTTTATATACAATAATAATAATAATAATAATAATAATAATAATAATAATAATAATAACAATGATAATTAGATAAAGTTGTCCCTGTGCTTAACTAATTAAGCACTACGCCATGAAGGCGTATATGGGAGTGAATGCACAGATCCACCTTTTCTTGACCTCGGCACTAGGTGGAGGTGAGTGGTCAGCTTCACGCCCCTTCCACTTTACCCCCGGTACCCACTGGATGGGAGGTTGGGTGGACCCCACAGCCGGTCTGGACGACATGGAGCAGTGAAAATTCTTGCCCCCACCGGGATTCGAACTCCGAACCCGTGGTCATTTGACGTACACATTAGCCAGCTGTGTCTTCTGTCAAACGAATTAATAACAATCTAACAGGAGTAGGCAGTGGCGAGGTGTGACTTAAAAAAATTTTCACCACGCAACACACTATGTACTGAGAACATGCAAGCAACAGAAATGTACAAACATTCCTCGTTTGGCTAACGCGATAGCTCGAAATGTCATGTATGCCCTCTTCCCCTCATTCATATTCATTCACCGCGGCGGCCCGGCTTCAATCCCGGGTCTGGTCAAGTGGGATTTGTGGTGGACAAAGTGTCGCTGGGGCAAGTTTTCTCCGAGTACTTCGGTTTCCCCTGCCAATCTTCATTCCACCAAATTCTCCATCATCATAATCACCCGGGGCAGGTACCATAGGCCAATCAGTGGCCGCCAGGCCGAGTGGACCCAACTGGACTCCACCCTCCACTGTGCGAATTTTTTTAATTTAAGTGGCTAACAAGACATGTGATGGATTCCTAGAGATGGCAGACGATGCAATATCTGATGGACCACCACTGAAGCACAGCAGTAACAGGTTTCTATTTCATTCTTTAAAGTGTTAGGAGGGTCAACACGTTTAGCATGACGCTATATCATTGTAAGTACGCCTAACTGTGGTTGTAATACTGTGAATGGTCTGTAAATGTTACAAAATGTTACCACAGTACTCACCCCCCCCCCCCACTTCAACGTTGATTTTCGTACCTGCCAGAGGAGATCCTATGGCCGCGGCGACTCCTTGAAACAGCAGCAGCAGACCGAATGCATTAGTCAGCTTGTCCAGTCCCATCAAATCCACGATAAGGATGGATCTCAGAGAGGCGAAACACGCTGCGAAGATAAGAGATTAGTTACAGCAAGTTATTATCAGACTGATGGCGGGTGGTGGGCAAGGGACGGAAGTACACGTAGCCCAAGCCCCTGGTAGATAAAATGGCCGAATACTAACTTCCGCCTTCAGTACTCAGGCAGTACATGGGACACCCCACAGAAATGAAACAACTGGCTGAGGTGGGTCATAAAAACCGGCCCCCGCACTGCGGCCTTCTATGATCTATTGTGTTGGCTGACAGTAACAAAAATGTGGTCCTGGGCCTCAGAGAGAGCTTCAAGTTAGGACTGACAGGCGGTCGTAATGTGATATTGACTTAATTTTGTCTGTGCTGCCTGAGCAGGAAGAGATGCACGACTCACAGATTCGTGTGTTACAGCAAAATATGGTCGTGATCCCTGCGAAACGCTGAACCGAGAATGAATGTGCTGGCGAGGACCAGCAGCAATTTACGTGACTGACCGACTGCACTGCCTAAAGATGAGAAGCAGCTGTACCCATAGGCCCCACAGACTAAGTACCATTTCCTTATACGTAATTGAACGCGGAGGCAAAGCGGGCCTCTTAAATTCGCATGCGTCTTTGTACAGATGATATCAGAAACAAAAGACCAATCTTTACAAACAAACAAACTCCGAGGCCTGTAGTCCGCAAGCGAACTATACCGACCGAGCGACCGCCGCTTGTCGGCGAAGTTAATGCCAACTTTTGCGGATAGAGTTTGTCACGTGGTCAGCGCAACGGATCCCCACGGCCGTTAATCTCGCTTTTCTAGATCGGAGCCGCTATTTCCAGGAAATAGCTCCTAAATTATCCTCGCGAGTCTGAGTGGATCCCGTTCCAGACCCACTATTTCTCAGAAAATCTGGTAGCGCTGGGAATCGAACCAGGGACCTCTGGATCTGTAGCCAGGAACTCTGACCACCTGACCACAGAGGCCATAAAATTCTTCTTTATGTTACGTTAATTCTGTTTGTATGTGTTTCCAAAATTTTATAACTGAGCTGCTTTTGTCAATTGGTCATACCTCTTAGAAGCCTTCCTAACTTAATAGCTGTCCTTATCAGCATTAAATGAATTAGTATTTGTATGTTGACGTATTGCAACCTCTGCTAGTATAGCAGTGAGGTGTGAACGGTACACTGAATAATCTCCCATACTTAAAATGCACCATACCAGCAACGAACACAGCCAAAGGCTACAGTTCTCCTTGTGCTTAATTAATTAAGCAGCACGTCATGAAGACGTATGAGGAAATGATGGTATAACTCCACAATTTTCGACCTCAGCATCACGGCCCGGCCGAATACCCCCGAGGAAAGGACCCCCTGCACCCATTGATTAGGAAGCTGGGTGGACCCCAGATCTGGTCTGGACTCTGTGGGGTAGAGAAATAGCCTCTTGCCCCTGCCGAGACTGGAACCCCGGCCGTAGCCCGTCGTTATAACTACTGAGCTATCCCGGCTCCTACCAGCAACGATTTCTTTGTTTGATACTTGGTTGTGAAGTGCTAAACTTGGCTTCTTGAACACGGTTCGTCTTTGTTCGTGCTTCTTACCCATGGCAAGGCCAAAGACGCTGGAGTAGAAGATCTGGTAGCCGAAAGTGAGCGACACACCGCTCAGAATAGTAGCGATGCCCCCGATTGTGAGGGCCACGTTGTTGATTAAGAGGGCGTCCACCCCAGGCAGGCTGGACACCAGTCCGCACGCGACCCTTCCAATGGTGTTGGTTATCCCTATTGTAGATACTAGCCAGATGGCCATGGCAGGCTCCATGCCGCTTACCTCCGCGCGGTCTGCGATAACACAAGACATAAACAACATTTACACTGACGAAGGGGGCACGTGTAGTTGGTTGAGGCACTATGCTACAAGCCGGAAGGTCGCGGGTTCCATTCCTAATCCTTCCAGTCGCACTATGGTCCTGGGGTCTACTCAGCCTCTAACAGAAATGAGTAGCAGGAATCTTCCTGTGGTAAGGGTGCTGTCGGCGCGTAAGGCTGACGATCTCACCGCCATCTGTGAGCCGACTGTCTAGAAAAATTGGGAGCCTCGATGTCTCACAAACCTATGGGCCTCCACGGCTTGTTATATGGAGGATGTGAGAAAAGATGGTGGTTATGAACGAACTGGCTAGAACGACGTGGAAATACGATATTTCTTCGATTGTTTCTTCAGGACTCCCACCGCCCTGCACATGATGCGCTGGGAGGTGGTGGAACGTCCCCTAAACGTGTTGAATTTGAGATTCTTGCAGCCATGAATACGAAGATTACAATATTCTGGGACTTATGGCCGTGTGGTCCGGTAGAAATTCATCGACGTCTCGCAGGATTATACTGCTTCCACATTCAGGGTTTACGCGCAGGGCATGTAACACGCGTGGGAGAGAAGAGAAATGCATAAAGGGGTTTGGTGGGGGAGTCGGAGGGAAAGAGGCAACTTGGAATATCTAGAAATAGGTGGAAGGATAATATTAAAATATATCTTAGATAAATATAATTGGGTGGTATTAATTGGATAGGGGCTAGTGGAGGGCGCTTGCGAACACGGTAATACACCTTCGGGTGCCATAAAATGTTGGGGAAATTCTGGAGTAGCTGGGCGACTGACAGTTTCTCAAGAAGGACTCGGATCCATGGAGTTAGTATATTTTTAGGGTTGAACAGTAACTGAACGAACTATCCAACAAGAAGCATTGTTATTGTTGTTGTTGTTGTTGTTATTATTATTATTATTTTTTTTTCTTAGTGGGGTGAGACTGAGTCCATTTGGTACTGCGGCCACTACTGGCCTATTGCACCAGCTCCATACGATAGGTGTACTCGGAGAAAACGTACTCCAGTTCCACCTTATCAACCACAAATTCCACAATACTAGTACATGACCTGGGATCAGACGCAGGTGTCGCCGCTGTTGGAACCCGGCGTTTAACAGAATGAACTGTGGCGCGGCCCTGCAAGCTACTAAGTGCCGTCAACATGGGATATTTTCATCTACAGTAAGGCTGAGGTGAGGCCGAGTGCCATCATGAGACGCACCTGTGAGGTACATGAACGGCACATAGAAGCCCATCATGGTGATGAACCCGCTAAAAGACAGCAACAGGAAAGTAGGCGATCTGAGTAGAGACATATCCAGCATGGTGGTGAGTGTGCGTTCTACTGCTTCGGGGCACAGTTTGCACTCCTTAGACACTTCTTCCTGCACGTCCTGCATGGTTGGCAGCCTCGTCACAGACATGTGATACCCAACAGAGCTCATCTGAAACAGGGCCCCACAGTTACACCACATAGCAGCCACACCCTGGCGTCAGCAACAGTTTCATTGAATCTAGAAGGCAGAAGGAAGCCACAAACGAAGAAAGAAAAGAAGGAAGAAGGTAACAGAGAACAGAACAAAGGTAAAACAGAAGATGGCAGAGAGCGGAATATAGAAAAAAAACGGGAAACGACGTCGAAGACATGAAGAAAACCCTTAATATACTTGAAAATAGGGAAGAAGATAAATATGACGTTCCCCTTCCTTTCGAACGTTTATTTTAAAAGCATATTACTATCTGAAGTACAGTATGGCCACTTGAATGTCCTGACTAACCGGCTAAGGAGCACTGCTTTAAAAGGCGGGGGAAGGGCGAATATGAATAAAATATTTGCATGAGCACACAGGAAGAATGGCAGAACTTTTGGGGCAAAAACAATTAGTCCACTGGAAAGGGCGAGGTAAAGGAACAGTAGAACACAATGATTACATGGAATTTCCGTTGTGAAGCAAAGACGTCAGACTGGTCAGCAGTTAAACACTAACCGCAACCTGTCTAAAATAATTATTTCGTGCCAATTTTTATTCAAGAACGTTTGCAGATCTCTGTCGGACACCTCTCAGTGTACTTACCTGCAGGGAAGATGAGAGATCTGTGGTCTTACCTGTGACGTGTACTGCGGTAGCCTGTGTAAGCTTGCACTGAAGAATATATCGTCCCTGTAGAAGGGCCTGACCCCTACTTCCCTGGACTTGATGCTGCATTCGGACGTCGTTCTAGTCCGTTTCCCTGTTTTGTTAGTTGCCTGCATATCTGTAGCCGTGCCCCCATTCCCCAACATCTCAGTGGTCTCATCTGACCCACGTCTCTCCTCCTGAACTGGCTTTAGGAGCTCCGTGTATGTTGCCACTTTCTTAATCGTAACGTCTTCAGGCACCGAGTTCACAAGTAGGACACGCTTACCTTCCTCTTCTTGCTGAGGTGCGTCTGGATAGCACGTCAGGCTCAGTCGCTTTTTGGATTTCGGCGGAGATGTATCACTGATATTACTACCGTACAGTGCATTGGTTTGTATGTTCAGAGAATGACTTGACAATTTCTGAGAGCTTTCCAATGCAGTTGTGCTTCTAGCGAGAACTTGGGCAGCAGTTAGGTACATGTTATTGTTGCTAGTCTTGTGGAAACGACTTCTGGGTCCTGGTTTAGGTTCCGCTGTTGTGCTAGTGTTGTCTGCAAAACTTGCTATCGAGTCGCATTTCTTCATTTGGTCATCTCGAGCCATTTTGATCCGCAGAAGGAGAGGTAACTGTTCCGCTGAAGACTTTTTCCCATCATTACCGTCAACAGTTTCGATGTTTGGGTGTTCTACGGAGACTCTAACTGGTTTCAGTGGCCGGAAGAGTGTTCCGAACACTGCGCAGTTCAAAACCAAGCCTGTAACGACAAGGGCACGTGCTAGTCATACAAATCTCAAAGTCGCTGTAACAGAAAAATGAATTCTCAATGGAGGCGTGCCATATGAGGTTGAAGATATCTGTTCCAGCACATGTTCACTGATGGTTCTTCTGGTTATTGCGCAAGTGTCGAATAGTGAAAGTTACTGAGGTTTCGGGAAAAGTTGCTGTCTCATCCAGCAGAGTCGAAACGATGAAGTTGCGGTGAAGAGTTTATATATGAATTTAATGCAGTGACACATCGTGATTGGTCAGAATTAGAAATTGTAACCGTTAGTGAATTCTTGGCTGACAAAAAAATGTAAGTACCTGTTACACTCACCTATAAAAACAGCTTCTTTTTTTTTTTTGCCTCGTTGACCCAAACAGAGAAGGCAGATCCTCAGAAAGGGCGGTAATCTTTCAAAATAAACTCACAAGATTCTACAAATACAGGAAGTGTTTGTACAGACATTGTGTTCATCTTCGGAGGGGTGGAAAACGATTAAACAAGTTTGTAAGGTAGAGCAGAATTTGATGCGTATAATTACCACGACAAAAGGTTTTATTTTTTAATTCAGCTCCATCTGGGCGGTTAGCTCAGAACATCGCGACATAATGAGGCATGTAATACCAGTAATTGTGAAGTAAAGGTTTTCTTTTAGTAAGATTCAAATAGCATGAAGTCAAATTATATTTTTTGCTAAGGGAAGATATCCCGTCTGGAATCAGGCCTCAGTAAGTGACATTCAGCGATATCAAGAAGAAGTCGCGAGAAACTACAATAAGGCAGGTTTTCCGGGCTAAGGACAATTACATGTGGAACAGGTTTACGATAAAGCGGATCTATATCTGTCAGTATGGGTCCATGCCCTCTCTGAGTACACTACTCAGTGTTCAGACAGTTTAACAGAGACGTGAAAGGGATTTGAAATTTTATAAATTGTCTTAATTTTCAGGGTTGTGGTGAATTTCTTAATAAATGGACTACAAAATGAGTCCTTGAAGAAATTATGGAAAACTTGTAACACAGAAAGAGGCCTCATTTACCAAGTCCATGAAACAAAAAGGACACTCTTGACAAGATAACAGGCGCATAAGTAGGTAAAACATTTCCTTCAATTCATGTAAGCCGGAAGTTCAATATCTGCTCACAAGCTTCCGCCACTGGTCGCTATCTCGAACCACATGGAAACAGACCACACTCTCACAGTCTGTTTCCTGAAGTTGCATTTTAATATTATCATTCCACGTAAATCTAAATTTTCTAAGTAGTCTATTCTCTTCGGGTTCCTCGACTCAAATTTTGTGTGAATTTTCATATTTTTCTGTGTGTTCTATAAATGTTGCTTGAATAATCATCCTTAGCTTGAAAACTTTATGCAGGTTGTCTCGTAAGCCTGAAACCATGGGCAGCGTTAGATTTTGACAACATTTTTACAAAATATGCTCAATCTAACCACCATTCACACCAATGGAAACGTACTAAGGGTTTTGTAAATCAAAGAGAAGACATAAATTTACTGCGCATAAGATACCCGCAGAGCCAGCTGGTACATATGCAGCTCCGAGAGGCAGATGAGACAACCTGTTCGAGAGAAGGATCAGGTGGAGTATCCTTGAGGCAGTGCAGGATAAAGAGAAGTGGAGACCGAGATGGAATTTTGAATTAATTTATATGACGATCCAGCTCTGGCTACGTATGTTAACCATTAACGTCTGACGTGCACTGGTCCGTACGGTGATGACTGATGAGTATGGTCGTTGTGGCCGAAGTACACTGACTTGTGCGGTCGGGTATTTGAACTCCACCAGGGGAAGCGCGCGCAAACTCGGCTAGTAGAAGCGAACGCCCAATCCTATGTATTTAGTTTTAAATATAGTAAAATTCAGTCTACATACTTCTTTTTTTTTTTGTATTTATATGCTTGATGTATAAACAGGGTTCACCCCCGCCCCCCATCATGTAACTGAATTTCGCCTTTGTATGGTACCTCTTGGAGCACCCGCGTCAGTTGCCTTTCAATTTCATCATCTTCTAAACAACGTATCATTACCATTTTATGAAGATATGAAACTACAATATTATAATTCACCATACCTCACAGAAAACAGAATGCACTCTCTATCTCAGCTACGATGCATGTGTTTGTTTACGACTCTAGAAAGGGCAATATTCTATCTCAAATGCAGTGGAAGGGCTTGGCACTGAAGAAGGGAACACAGACCCTGTAACATTCCTTGATCTACAATGCTTTCACTTTTCTGTCTTTTAGTCAAGGCTCGAATATCTGAAGAGTGCAACAAAGACTTGAAACTTGCCCGCACAGAACCAAATGATTTTATTGCTTCCAGCTGGTTTATGGCACCAGAGAGTGTGAACATATTGTAAGTGCTAGGCCCGCTCGGAAAGACAAGGGAGGGTGAGAGGCCGAAATAAGCCGTACCTGCCTGTATGAGCAGCGCCCCTCTCCAGCCGAAAGCATTTATAAGCGCAGTGCACAGCGGCGCCATGACGAAGGTGCCGATGCCAGAACCACAGACGGCGATGCCCGTTGCCAGGGCACGCCATTTCTCGAAGTAGAAGCCCACAGCTATCACAGCCGGCACGTACACGAGCCCGAAGCCTATACCTGCGCAACATACAGGAAGGTCCATTACATTCAGTTGCCACACACTGTGAGTAGACATAAAAAAAAACCCTCCTTGGCTTGAGTCCGCAAGCGAACTAGACCGACCGAGCGACCGCCGCTTGTCGGCGAAGTTAGTGCCAACTTTTGCGGCTACAGAGTGTCACGTGGTCAGAGCAACGGTTCCCTACGGCCGTTAATCTCGGTTTTCTAGACCGGAGCCGCTACTTCCTTGAAATAGCTCCTGAATTATCCTCACGAGGCTGAGTGGACTCCGTTCCAGACTCAGTTCTTCTCAGAAAAAATTGTAGTGCCGAGAATCGAACCCGGGACCTCTGAATCTGTAGCCAGGAACTCTGACACTAGACCACAGAGTCATAAACCCCAAGAATTCTGGACTTCAGCACTCAAAGGAGGTAATGATTGCTCAGCTTCAGGCTCCGGAGACTTTGTCACCTCTCCGCCCCCGACCCGAGAAATGACTCTCTGGTTCCCACTGAATAAGTCTGATCACAGACTTGGTCTGTGTATGATGGGGGAAAATTATTCCGTAACTGTCAGAAATCGAATTCTGGCCACGCAGCTGTTGGACCGTCACTGTACTGCCTGAAAACAAACATCATCTCAGTTATGAAGTTCAGTGGCTTAATGTTCTTCAGGGAAATGGCCACTGTTTGTTCTCAGCTCACAGATATACTAGGTGGTGATGCTATATCGTCTGAAATTCAAGCAATCGGTACACATATCATATTATAGAGGGTTAACACACCAAAAACTGAACTGAGGAGCACTGAATTACATGTTTCAGTCCCGTGTAAGACAGGCCAGTTCTCCTGCAGTTTTGGCAGGTGGGTGTGTGTAATTTGTGCACAAGTCATTCGGTCAGTGCCTATACGAATAGCCTGATATCTGTAACTATGATCTGATATCACGAAGAGCAAATTAAGCAGTCCAAATTTTCGTACGAACCGCCTCTGTGGTCTAGTGGTCAGAGTTCCTGGCTACAGATTCAGAGGTCCCGGGTTCCATTCCCCTGCACAACCAGATTTTCTGAGAAGTAGTGGGTCTGGAACGGGGTACACTCAGCCTCGTGAGGATAATTGAGGAGATATTCCAAGGAAACAGCGGAAAACCGAAATTAACAGCCGTGGGGATCCGTTGTGCTGACCACGCGACAGCCTCTATCCGCAAAAGTTGGCACTAATTTCGCCGACCAGCGACGGTCGCTCGGAAGGGAATAGTTCGCTTGTGGACTACAGGCCACGGAGTTTGTTTTCCTTTTGTTTATATATTTTCGTATGAATCGGGCTTTGTAAGGTCTTCTATTGGGGGCTGTAAATTATATAAAAGCTAGCATTCCCACGGAGAAAAATCTGAAGGCGAAACTTCTTTTCGTGCTCATAGACTGTTTGTGTGCTACGTTTGTCACTTCTTAAGCCTACTTTTCTACAGTATGCTTATGCGATCTCCATGCTGTTTGTGTGTTCGTGAATCACCACCCCCTATTAACTTCTGAAAGCATGAACAATTTTTTATGAAATTTGGTATGTACTGTATGAGTAAATCTCGGCACCTGAGCCCACCTCAACGGCAGCTCAAATTGAGGGAACGGCTACGCAGTTTCCTCAAATTGAGCTGCTCAATTCAGTAACATATGTTCAACTCAAGCTGATAACAATTCTCGGAAATTGCGGTTGCCAGTTCCCTTGGTGTGCCCTCACCCTGTCGGAGTGACATTTGGAGTCGGATGCTTACCTCCCAGGACGCCATACGAGAAGAAGAGGTATGTGACGCTACTGGCAAAGTAGGAAACGGCAAAACCGATGCCACCCAGAACGCTGCCCAGTATGCACACTGTTCTAAACCCGTAGCGATTCGCTAGTGCGCTCACGAATGGACCTGGAACATATGTAAACACAGTTAAGTTTCTGAACACACTAACTCTGGATGAATAACGAAGAAGATCGTTGTGCTAGCAGACAATGTAGGCATATCCCTAGAAATGTTAGATATGACCAACTCATATCCACTGCATTTACCCTTAACGTAAATTTTTAATTCGGTAATGTTTCCGTTAGTAGTGCTGCTGAAAACAATAAATACCATGAAGAGAATTGGTACAATTTTCTGGGTTGGAAAGCCGTGCAGGCTGCGGAGAGCCTGAACTTTCGGAGATACATATCACATCCATCTTCAAGGTCGAAGACTATGTCAGGCAGGAACTTATTCACATTTACAGGAGAATTCGAGGTTTCCATTCTCCATAACTACATTCGAAGTTCTAACAGATAATGTAAAAGCTTTCATTTAAATTAAGAATAAGAAAACTTAATTACTGTGATCAGGCAAGTGCTGGAACCCGCCGATACCTAAGTAGCTACATTTTCGAAGCTTAAGGTAACAGTGTTTGTACATGAGATATATGTTTATACAGCGCCAGAAGAATTATGCGTGCATAAATATTCTTCTTGAAGTGTAAACAAAGTGAATGCAGTATGTACGATCTCTTTAAGTGCATTAAACTTTAATTATCTATAATTAAAAACAGGACTCGATTACGTTTCATCACTTACCAACCATAAGATAAAAACCCGCTAACAGTGATCCAATAATCGATACTTTGGCCTTCGATTCATTGAACGTCTCCGATATATTGCTGAGGAACATGCCGAAGGCGAATATGATACCGTCGACAACAAGGTTACAGAAGAAGGAGGCCGCCACGATAACCCAGCCCCAACCACCATCTGGTGGGACAACGGTGAACGTTGTGAGGGGCTCTCCGAGCTGGATAGCCGGGTCGGTTTCGACTTCATCCTCTGTCAGTCTCTGGTCCTCGTCTGCTTCGTCGGCACAAAGGCTGAAAGAGTCACGCTTGCCGAACTGGCCGTCAGGCTGCGGGTGAGACGTTGTCTCTGACATGACGGCACCTGCCACCCCCGACACACAGCTCACTGTCTCCACCGCCCTGCGAACAACATAGCGTCAATTCATCCTTGCATTGCTACGAATATCTCGTTTAGAAGCACTGACACTTCCGGGCATGATACTACTTGATATGTAAACAGCTGGTGCAAGAAAACTGAAGTGAACATTCGTCCAAGATTTTCGGGCACAGTCCCCGAAATAAGACTTATGTACCACACTGATTTTGTCCCCGATTTGCTTGCTTGCTTACTTACTTACTTACTTACTTATGGAGTTGAGCTCTTCTTGAAGAACCGCCAAATCTGCAGCTACTCAAGAATTTCCCAGCATTTTATGGAACCCAAAAGTTCATTACCGTGTTCACAAGAGGCCTCCACTGGTCCCTATCCTTAGCCAGATCAATCCAATCCACACCATCCCATTCTATCTCTCTAAGATCCGTTCTAATATTGTCCACCCACCTACGCCATAGTGTTCCCAGGGGTCTCTTTTCTTCTGGCTTTCCCACCAATATCCTATATGCATTCCTCTTCTCCCCCATTCGTGCTACATATCCTGCCCACCTCATCCTCCTTGACTTGATCTTGGTTAAGTAAATTAACACAATTTAAAAAAGAAAACAGAGAACCGGGATAGCTCAGTCGGTATAGCGACAGGCTACGGTGCAGCCGATCAACTGAATTCGATTGAGCCGAGCCCGCGAAGTACTTGGAAAATGAGCGAGCTGTGTTCGAGGCTGTGAAGGCTTTGGTAACAAAACTATGTAGGTTAAGTTCAACTTTATTACATTTCAGTAGAACTTTAAACTCTTGCCAGTTTACATGGTATACGAGAAGCCGCTACTTCCAGGTATTTCAAACCAAGTTAGCAATACTGAGGAATTGGTTACTATGCAGCTTTGGCCACGTAGACGCTTGAAGGCGCTACCGCGGTAGATAAAACATCTTTACACAACTTTAGAAGTTTATTAGAAGTGAAAACCTGGCTCCCACCACTGCCTTTAGAATGAAATTTCAAGAAGAAGAAGGTCACTGTAAAGGAAACTGCTACACCACAGGTTGACAAATTTTGTGATACCGTGACAACCCCAAATTATATATATACACACATACACACACACGAGCATATAGTGGCATACTATTGACTAGTCATGAGTTTGGATTGATATTTTTTTTTCCTTGGCACTAAAGCCCCAGTGGGCCTATGCCTACCTCCATGAACTTCTCCGTTCACTTCGGTTTTCCTAGATCTTACACATTCGGTAGGACGCCTTGGGCGGGTGATCAGCTCGTCGCAAGGCCTCTACCTGTACACAAACACAGAAAAACGCACACACACAAACTAAACATCCATACCCTGAGTGGGATTCGAACCCACGATCCCAGTTTCCAAGTGAGCGAAGACAGTACATGCCTTATACCGTTCGGCTACCGTGACCGGCGGATTGATAATTACATTTATTAAATGCTCAAGACTCGTGACCACAAATAATTATAACACTCTGGCTATTGTACAGACACACCACCATAGCACATATTACTCGTAATTATTCTGTTTCTGTTATGTCTTCAGTAGTCGTCGCTTGGTAGCGGCTTCTAACAAAGGAAATTATTTTATTCACGGCTAACGAATAAGTACGCATGCCTCTCACCGAAAAGCACTGTTCTACACTATGTTGCAGGCCCCTGGGCTACAAGATGCAGAAGGACAACTTCACAATCTCTCTACAGCTACAGTAAGCTAAGTAAGATTGTTGATTGTTGTTGATTGTTAAGCTAAAAATTTCGTATACAAAGAAAGTAATTGGCGAAAACTTTCGCCGGTTGCAGCTACATCTTCCGAAAGCACCTATCTTAAATGTTACTTAATGCCTTAGTGATTTGCCAAACCTGTGCGTGGATGCAGCTATATGTAAAACTTTTTCCTCTTAGGCTCTGCGATTCGACATACCATTTGTTGCTATGGTGACGTGTGTACGGTAGTTGCAGAGATATTGAAAGGGGGTCTCTTAAAGAAATCCAGCATGGAAGGGACTCAAGGTATACAGCATGTTGAGAAAATTAAACAAAGAATCAGTTTAAGAAACTCATGTTATTACTTAGGATAAATTCGGCCGCGCCATAGCTCAAGCGGTTAGTCGCTGGCTTCCCACCGCGGCGGTTCGGGTTCGATCACAGGTCTGGTCAAGTGGGATTTGTGATGGACAAAGTGGCGCTGGGGCGGGTTTTCTCCGAGTACTTCGGTTTCTCCTGCCAATCTTCATTCCACCAAATTCTCCAGCATCATAATCACCCGGGGCAGGCTACAATAGATCAATCAGTGGCCGCCGTGCCGAGTGAGCCCAGTTGGACTCCACCTCCCACTAAGCGAATTTAAAAGAAAACAATTAGGATAAATTATGTTTAAAAACCCTGCTCTTAGGCACTCGTACGAATTTAAAACTTATAAGGCCTTGAGAAATAGACGTGTGCTTAAATAATTAAGCATCACTCCATTAAAATGTATTGAGGAATGGAGGTATAGCTCCTAGTACTGTTAACCTCAGCACTAAATGGAGGTGAGTTGTCAGCTTCACGCCCCACCTGCTTCACCTCCCGGGAGAGAGCTCCCAGTACCCCTTCGATAAAAGGCTACGTGGACTTCAGTTTTTCAGAATTTGAGATATCAGTATATTACACTTTTCGCCAAAAAGCAGACTTCAATATCGTTTGATATTTTGCTTTAAATGAAATGGCAGCATAATCTCCAGGTTCCGTTACTTCAATCCCAGGTCAGGTCATGTGGGATTTACGGTAGACAAAGTACTTAGGTTTCCCTTGCCAGTTGTCATTCTGTCAACTGCTTCATATTCATTAATCAATATCTCTTCGACATTATACAGTATCCATATCGACAGCGTCGTTAAATAGGACACTTAAAAGAGAAGAATAACAGCAGAATTATACTACATTGTTGATACGTAATAGTGTTGATAATAACAATGTTTTATGATGATAGCGTGAGAAGGCAACGCGTGTTATGCATACGCCCGAAAGCCGAAATAGCGGAGCCAGAGTGGACGTTCATTTCTAGGCAACAACTCGGTAAACAAGTTCCCGCTGCAATGAATAAGCAAGCAACAAATTGAGGAAATCAGGTAGTGTCAAGTCTGGTGATCTTGGCGGCCACAGATTTTTTCGAAATTAATCGGTCACCGAAATAACGTTCAGTTTCCCTCATGCTTGCATTAGATGTGTGTGGCACGTTGCTCCATCTTGTTGAAAGTAAGCTTCCGTTAATTCGTCATCTGTTAACTGATTCACAAATTCACCGAATATGTTCGAGTACACCTCCGTGGTAACAATTTGATCGAAGAATATGGGACTGATAATTCGTCTACGGGACAAGGCACACCACAAACCCGATTTTCTCGGAATGTAAAGGCTCCGTATGAATTTCATATGGGTTTTCTTCTGCATATTCACGCGTATTTTGCGTGTTTATGTAGCCACTTTGATGAAATTAAAAAGTTATTGAGGAATGTTTCGGTTTCCTAGAGAGAGAATCACACTCTGTAAGATGTTGAATGATGATGATTCATGAAGAATACCATATTACCGGATGTGATGCAAAGTGTAGTCTGGTATAAGTTCACCGACGTTTCGGAGTATTTTACTGACTCCATCTTCAGGAGCGAAAAGTAAGCCTTGCAAGCAAGCAGTATAAGCCACGCACGGATGAAAATTGTGTGCATTTGGACCGGAGTAGGAGCTTTGAGAGATCTGACAGGAAAAAGGGAACAGTGAACTAACAGGGACCCTTATTGGGACTTAGTAGGCCTGATCTCAGCCCTGAAGATGGAGGAAGGGTGCTCCTTATACTACAATACAAGACATACAAGACGTGTTCTATGTGATCATCACTATGACAAACCGGAAATTCCTCAGATCAATTTATGATTATTTCTCATTTTATCCAACGACCCGTCAATATAGCGATGGAATAAGGGATGGTTGGTCTGGGTTCGATTCCCAGCAGTGCAAGATTTTACTCATCACCACAACTTCTAGACCGACTCTGGAGCCCACTCAGCTCCTATGTAATTGGTACGGGGGTCATTTTCCACAGAAGTAAAGCCACCGGGGCGTGAAGCTGACCACTCACAGCCATCTAGTGTCGACATCAAGAAAAGGTGGAGCTACAGCTTCACTCCCCAATATGTCTTCATGGCATAGTGCTTAGTTAACTAATCGCAGGCACAAATTTATCTTTATTCAAGAATACTTATTCAACTGCTTTGGTTATTGTTGTTGAATGGGAGGAATGAATGTGAATGACTTTTTTTTGGAGGGGGGAGGGGGAGAACTAATCGTCTACGTCTATTTTCCTTTCATTACATATTGAATACTTGACACGATGCGGCCCGCATAGAAAACACAGCGTCCAGCACTTCTTTTATTGTTTTGAGTGTATTCGTTGCAGCGGGAACGTTCTATTCAGCCGTTGCCTAGCAATGCTGTCTGTTCAATTTAAAGCAGATCTATTCTGGAAATATGCTGGAGGGAGTGAGGTGAACCGTGAAGGTGTAATGACAGATACTCTGAGAACGTCTGACTTCTAGAAGAAAAAAACGTCATCCCGGCTCATATAAAACGCCATGTAGCTCTTTGAAAATCAACCGTCGTGTCGGAGGAATATATGCCTCTATCTTCAGAGCTGAACAGAAAGCCAAGAAGAAAACTCTTCTTTGTGGTGGTATGTTCCTTGGCTTAGTCTTCAGACATCAAGATGAGGCGATACGTACTTCCGAAACGTCGATTTACTTTCAACGGACTACGTGGCATTATACCCCAGGAAACAGAACTCTTCATAACCATCGTTGCTGAGAACCCCAAATTCTAACCAGCTACCCCGACTGGAATCCAGACGTGCTGTCTCAAATTCTGCAATGCAGTTCGAACCCACTACAGCTGAGCTAGCCTACTTGCTTAATTTGTATGAAGGTAGTGCAAATTTTTAACGATAGACATATCGAATGTCCAGTCTGCTTATGACGGTTAC